CCGAGATTGTTCGAAAACCTAACCTGAAGTAAAACAGGTCAATTTGAACCTATATTTTTTTTGGTAAGATTTGGACTGGGTAAACTCACAAACACATCACACATATGGTAGACTCGAATCCAAGATCTCTTAGTTGATAGTAATTGCTCTCAACTAACAGACTAAGATGAGCAGTGTGATATATATGAATTAGTATGAGAAAAATTTAATAGTAATTAAGTGAGATTTGTTAATTATAATAAAGTAGTGGAACTCTAACATAAATATTAAGGTGCCATGTGTAATTGTTGGAGTTTTATGGCATGGATGTGAAAAGATAGTCTACAAAAGATAAGTTATAATGTCTGATTGATCAAAGTGAATAATATCTAAATAGATTGAACTACATATGTTATAACATAATGGTTTTAAATAAAAAATAAGTGTCATATATGATTAACGTCATGTTATGCCATGAGAGCTACTTCTTAATCTTCTAATAAAATTATAATTTTTTATGGATCTAAATGCATAACACCTTAATAGATTCAATTATAGGTTATACCATAATGGCATTAAAATAATACAAAAGGGAATATATAAGAATTAATTGTTACATCATTAGAGCCACCTCTAATACTTTTTGTAAAATAATGAATTTTATCTAGCTAAAGTGAATAATATCTTAATATTTATATAAATGAGGATTTAAATGTGACATAGAAATATGATGTTCTAATTAAAAATATTTTTTATACAAATAAAAAGTTTTGTAAGCAATAGAAAGAGAAACAAAATAAATTATAAAAGTTATTTGAGTATTCATCAAAATAATCTAATTTTTTAAAAAGAAAAAGAATCACTAATGAAATACTAATTAAATATTTTCTTTTAAAATTATTAAAAAAAGAAAATTATAATTAGAGAATCTCAGGAGCCCACTAGACTATAATTGTACTTAAGAAGGAAGCAATCATTGTTGAACCTTACGCCGACATATAATTTTTTATTTATTTAATTAAGAAAATCATCCGATCTCCAATGAAATGAAACTGAAAGGATAGGGTTCAAATTGTAAAACTGAGAAAAAAATATGACATAATTGAAGACAATCATCAGTGCAGATTAAACTTATAATGACACAATTTTAGTTCTTTTTCTCAAAATTGTGAAGCGTGCTTGCAAAATAATAATTCAATTGTATTTTGGTTACTCAAATGAACTAAAATCTTTTGAGGCTTATCCTTTCAAAAGGAGAAATTATTTGGATAAATTTTTAAAATAATTATGAATAAGAATTTAATTAACTATTAAATAAAAAAAATTAGAATTAGACAAAGTCGCCTACTGAATGGGAGACTTGCTTAAGTTATAAAGTAAGAGAAAAAAAAATTCAAAACAATTCTTTTTTCTTGTTAACGTTGTGTTGGAGAGAAGGTACAACACATTTTTTTAATTTTTTATTAAAATTCTTAAAAGAAGATAAATTTAAAATAATAATAATAATAATGTATTATGAATACTTTTTTTAAAAAAAGTTGTATTTTTAAATTGATTATGATAAATTAAATTGTGAAATTATTTTTGACACATAATAACTCATTAAATTACATCATTCTAACTCATACAAAATAAGAAACAATATTTGTATTTAATATTTTAATAAAAAAATAAAAAAAATCTGATATTGCTCCTCTCCAACAAACTGTATAAAAAGAAAGAATTATATTGGATTTTTATTTCTCTTCTATTTTATTTCTCTATCTTTTAGTTTATTTATCTCTTCATTTCTCTCTCCTGTAATCTTTTTTTTAAGTTTTTATAAGTTGAGCAAGTCGCCCAATAAATGGGCAACTTTGCCTAGTTCTAAATTTTTTTATTTTGTTGGTTTAATAGTTAATTAAATTCTCAACGCTATTTATTTTAAAAATTTACACAAATTATTTTGTGCGGACACTGGATGATCCAGAGACCAATCAGAATGTGTCACGTCACCCGATACATAACATTATTGAGAACCGATACCGAGCAAAAAAGTGAAGTGATCCGTTCTGATTGGTCTCTAAATGCCGTTTGCATAAAATAATTTTTCTCTCAAAAGAGATACAAAAGCGTAAAAAAAATGCTAGATAGGTCTAGTTCTAATTATATATATATAAAGATTAATGATCTATTTGAGATGGCTATAGCATTTTATAAACTTGATTGTCAAGTTGCTTTGAGAAAAGTAACTTAAGCTTCATTTAGGATGACCTTTTATTGCTTTTTAAAATGATTTTTTAGTATAAAAATTTGTAACTCAAATATTTTTTTGTATTAAAAAATTGCTTTAGAAATAATAAGAAATAGGCCGTACATTAGTCTCAAAGAAATAAGAAAGTAATAGGCAATTAATAAAATTATGATTATTGTTTAAAAAACAAAATAAGGAGAAAACCATCCCAAATAGATAGTACGTATAATCAGTCTCTCAGTATGAAAGTTTGCTACTTTTTAAGAGAGCGGAAAAGACTAGTGATATATAGAGTTTTCTCATATTATTGTTTAGCCTTCTCAAGAACTTTTTTACAAATTCCATGAAGCAAGTTGAGAATTTTGTAAGGAGGTCATCTTTAAATCTTATGTTCTCATAATAAAATGTTGCTCTTGTTGATATTTAGATTTGTAAAATGTGAAAGAATTATTTAGTGGCTGAAGAAGATGGGAGAAGACTTCAAGCAGAAGCTTTATTCAAACACTGGGGATGTTAGCACCTTATTAATGAAATATTCAATTGATAGCTCTCTCTTATTTTATGATAAGAAGGTTCTAGAGCTTTCTAGTTAAGCTTAATGAACTTAGTTGATTACATGTTATTAATTGTTCTCTACTTCTCTTCCAAGATGATTGTTTGCTAAAATAGCAGATCACAGTCCAGTTAACCGCAGTTTTGTTGCTGTTGTTACTGAAATATCTTTTTATGTGGAAAAAACCTTCAATAGCTAGCTCTTTTAGCAAATATCAAGCGTTCATTGAAAAATATGTTCGACTTCTTGCTTCGGCCTTCGGTAACGAGAACTTTTTTAGTAGTGAATAGTGATAGCAGAAACCTTCTGATAGTTCATTTCTTGTGGCTGTAGCTGTAGATATAAGAGGACTGGCCATCTTAAGCTCTGCAACCAAATGATCTGTTGGTTAAACATCATTGACCAATGCATTATAAGATGGTTTACTTGCCTTACTTGCCTGCAGCCCTTAGGCATAACTACCTCTTTTACATAATTCAAGAGTATATATATCCATTACTCAATTTGCAAGTGCCTAGAGGCCTCTCAGAAGTTTACAAGCTCTCCTGAATATGCGCGAGCTCTCCTGAATATGCGCGAGGAGCCAAGAATTGATTCGAAGATTTACCATTCGGCTCGAGAAGGAAATGCTCGAGGTGAAAGACTTAGGGGCTGTTTGGTAGCAGGAGTTGGGTCAGATTTGAGTGAAATCCAGCCAAATAGCCTAAAATGCAAAAACAAATCTCACCGCAAATGAGAGCCACCGTAGACGGAAAATTCTGCCTTTGCGTGCTAAAGCCCAGATTTTCGAAATTATGTTTTTTGTCGGATTTATGAAATCCATTGGCTCTAGAGTAAGAGTCTTCTAGTTAAATCCACTTTATATCCAAACTGTCACACATGATTTAATCAGATTTTATCATGAATGTTATCAAACAATTTTCAAGATTTAGGCCCCTCGGGATTTCTGAAATCCAGATTTAGCGGATTTATAAAATCCTACTTAAATTAAATTATGGGTGCTACCAAACAGCCCTTTAGGGCATCTCCAACCGAACTCCAAACGCTTGAATGGAGTCGCTCACGAGTTCCAGCCGAACGGTAAAACTTCCGCTATTTGGTTGCGGGTGAACAGTGGGACGCCAATATTGGAGTTGCATTGTTCATCTTCGCCATTTTTATGTCTCTACCGAACTTGTCAAAGAAACGCACGAAAGAAGAGAACGACCGTTACCTTCGCAAATGGAGTTCGATTGGAGATGTATCACGTCATTTTTTAGTTTCACGGCATTTTGGAGTGAAAAATGAGATTTTCGGTTGGAGATGCCCTTATAGAGCCTGTTGTTATACAAACTGCTCTAACACAAGGCCAAAGGGAGGTATATTCTTCTACGCATTGGAACTACACCATGTCAATAGTCATGTTAACGCCGGGTGGTCGAGTCTTCTTTGACCACTCGTCCTAGAAAACTCGCCATCAGGCATGATTAGCCACAACCATGAGTGAGACATAGGTCACCAGAGAAACCACATGGATGATAGAAGAGCACATGTATCACATGAATATTCTCAAACTATTGTAGTTGCTCTGAAAATATTTGTCAATTATTTGAATGTCATTGTCCACATGATTGATTTGGACTTTAAGAAATATATGTGATCGTTGTAGATCATTGAACTGCCATATTTAGCTATTTTTTTCTTAATGAAATATCAGTGATTATTTGATTGTTCATATTTATCTGCTACTACTATTATTGAAATATCTATAATTGTTTGATTATACTTGTAATTTGGGCTCTATTCTTATCTTTTGTATCAAAATATATCTTTTATTTTTCCATGTTCCAAGCGGTAGAAAAGCCATCAGTAAATCCTATTCGCAACATTTTGTGATGCAACTAAAACATTTTGAGACGAATAAGCCATCGGTATACAATGACTCTTGCGATAGTCATTTTGACGTAAAAAATTTGCAAGACTTAGGATTTATTTGGGATAACTTTTTAGCTACTTTAATTTTAAGACAACAATAATAATTTTTTATTTTTCACAACCAAATGATTGGTTGGTTAAAATTGAAAGCTCAGTTATAACTGATATCTTTCACTTAAAATAAAATAGAATAAATGAACCAAAGCAGATTACAAATTACAATAATAATACTGTATAACTGGTTAATGCACCCTATAAATATAGGCATTGAAAGCCCACTTTCATTTCAAGTGAAAAGCAAAAGCTCCATCAAAGAAAGTAATGTTCAAGCAATGGCTTACAAAGAACATGCCTGTGTTTGCTATGATAAGCTTGCAGTTCATATATGCAAGCATGGCCCTTGCAACCAAAGCTACCTTGGACGAGGGATTCAGCCCTGTAATCTTTCTTGTTTACAGGCAAATAGTTGCCTCTATTATTCTCACACCAGCATCCATCATAAATATGAGGTTTGTTTGCATGTCTCTCTAGCCATCTGTCTCTCTCTCTCTCTCTCTTTGCTTTCTCTCTATTTCTGATTATTCATTTGGTAATAGTAGGAAACCAACTGAAAAGACTATGGGAATGAAGGGTTTCTTTCTGGTGTTCTTGGCTGCTCTTGTTGGGTATGCTTTCCTTAATTTTCCAATCCATTAATTATAACTCTTTAGGACCTGTTCACAGGTTCTATGCATGGTGAGTTGTTTTGAAGGCATTGTAATTGATTATATTTATTGTTTTCTGTTCTTAGAGTGGCAATGAGTGCGAACTTCTATTTCAAAGGATTGCAGTTGGCTTCTGCATCTGTTGCTACTGCTATATCCAACATAGTACCTGCTGTAACATTTGTCATAGCAGCTGCAGTTGGGTAATTAGTTATTTTCTCATTTTTGGGCTTTTTTTCTGCTTTTTAAAGCAGCTTTTTAGTTAAAAATTTAAATTTTTTTACCTTGAAAGCTGCTTAAGAAACAGCAGAAAAGTCGTCCCAAACAAAGCCTTAGTTGCATTCCGTTTGGTGCCTATTTTCTATTTATTTTTTGGTAGGAAAAGCAGCTATAGAAAAGCAGATTTTTCTATTTTTTTACCGAAATTTTGCTTTGGAAAAATTACTTCTGAGAAAGCAAAGAAAAAACAAATTATGATGAATCAGATTGGAGAAGGTGAGACTTGGGAACATTAGAAGCATGGCTAAAGTTCTTGGAACAATTATATGCCTCTGTGGAGCTGTTGTCATGATATTATCGAAGAGCCAAAATCTTATGAACAGTGAGATCAGAAAGATTATCGTAAGTTCATTATTACAATTAGCAGCAGGAGACAAATGGCTTCTGGGCGTCTTCTTTCTTATAGCATGCTACACTTGCTGGTCTGCTTGGCTTATTATACAGGTTAATTATTAATTGGATCTTAATCTCATCTATTACAGTTTATTTTTTGGTTCTAAAAGTCTTCAAAAAATTTATTTTTGATAATTTTGCTGCAGGTGCCAATATGTAGAAACCATCTGGATCCACTCTCATTATCTGCTTGGATGTCTGTAATATCTGTTTGGCTAACAGCTATTTTAGCTCTACTCGTAGAACCAGGCTGGAGGGTCTGGAGACCTGTGTCAGGCTTGTCTCTTCTGTTTTGCATTTATACTGTGAGTTTACATCAAATTAGATGCAGGAATCTGCTGAGTACTAATTTAGCTGCAAAAATCTATTTATTATTAACAAGCACTTCTATAAATATTATTTTTTTCTAATACTTCTATTTTATGATTATTAGAACAGTAATTTTATCTAAAATTCTTATTTACCGCATCTACTTCAGGATCATGCAGGAAAATCTGTCAATAACGACGGACAGACATACGTCGGAAAAAGCGGTTGTCTAATCGGCAGAATATATGCCGGTAACTTAACGGCGAAATTTCCGCCGTTAGAACACTAGCGCATATTCCGCCGGTTTTTCACCGGTATTTAAAATAGGGAAATTTACATACATACCACTTTATTTCATACTATTTATATAACTAACACCAAAAATATTAATATTATATGCATACTACCTATATACAACTTTAATAAAAAATATACCACTCATATAATTCATTTATATCATCCTATAAACTTTAATATTTCATTCGATGCACCCAAATTTGTTCTATGGGTGATAGTCATGTAATATTAATGTTTTGGATGTTAGATATGTAAATATCATGAAATAAAGTGGTATGTCTTAAAAATATTCCAGCGCAATAGTTATCGACGTATTATCCGCTGGTAACAGGACTGACAGTTAATTCACTGGAAAATTCAACGGAAAGAGCCCTATTTCGACCCCTCCATCATATTTCTTCTCATTTCTTTCCATCTTCCTTTAGTTACAGAAAATTTCATGCGGATTTCTACTTCTACCGGCAAATCCGCCAGTAACTGAGCATTTTCTTGTATCATGATTAATAATCAAATTGCCTATAATTTATCCATGCCAGTGAAAAAATTAACCTGTTTGCCATTTTTTTTGTATATGAAGGGATTCTGCTGTGCTGTTAGCTACTTTGTCCAGTCCTGGTGCATAGCAATCAGAGGGCCACTATTTTCTGCTATGTTTAACCCTCTCTGCACTGTGATTACTACAATTGCTGCTTCCTTCTTGCTTCATGAAGAACTCTATATAGGAAGGTAAGCACAATTAATTATCATTTCATTTTGTTACAAAACTTCAATAATAATCTTCCTAAATTATTGAATTATAAGTACAATTTTTTTTTCCAAAATGTTTACTGGCAAAACATCTTTGATCAGCTTGGGGGGTGCAGCAGCCATTGTAGCAGGTTTGTATGTTGTGCTTTGGGGGAAAGCTAATGACATAAATGATGGTAAGAAACAGCATGGAGCTGATGATAATGACAGAATGATTAGAAATTCTGAGAAGAATGATCACGAGAAGATATCTGAAAATAACCTCGAAGAAGCCTTACTTAGTTCTTTAAATGAACACTGTTAATTAGTTTTCATTTCATTGAATTTTTCATTAATTATTTTGTTTAGCTGATAATCCTTATTTTCAGCGTCAATTAAATCCTTTTTTCTTTCTTACTCCTTATAAGCAAGAAATAAAAAATTTAACAATAATTTTTTTTTTTCCTTTTCTTTACTACTCCATCTTTATATATGCAGATTTAGAGCGGTTAAAACTAGCCTTGTGAATTAGAGGTGTCAATTCGGGTTAACAGGTCTGATTCGAGTCGAATTTGAGTTGACCCAGGTGTAAACGGGTTGACCCGAACCCGACCCGTTTAGCTAAATGGGTCAGGATTGCCAACCCGGACCTGACATGTGTGGGTTGTCGAGTTGACCCGACACAACCTGCTAAAAAGTTTAGGTTGGGCGCGTGCAAGGTGGGCACGTACTAGTGCCTAGCAAGCTAGGCTGGTTCTTGGCTGGGCGTGAGTCGCGTGACGTGCGACTGTGGCACTCATTGCGGAAGCCGAAGTAGGCTAGGGTGGCTAGGTTGGGCTAACGGACCCAAGTCAACCCGAACCCGACCCATTCTTTTAGAAGGGTCAAAAATTCAAATCCGGACCCGACTCGTTTCACAAACAGGTTGACCATAACCCGGATTTTTCTGGATCAAATCAGAGTCGAGTTTCAGGTCATGTCAACTTTTTACACTCCTATTGTGAACTATGTTCTCCATTAGTTTTAAAACCCGTGTGAAATACCTTAGCAACAGACAATGATCATGACGATCTTGCAGCGGTTTAGGAACCGTAATATCATAAAAGTCAATTTTAAGTATTGTGAAAGTTTTTTTTTTTCTGGTAGAGAGACTAATCATTTTACATTTATATACAAACAAAATTTTAACTATGAGATCAAATAAGAAACTGAAATACATTTGAACACATTATTTCAAATAGTTAGCCAATTATTATATTTTTTAATAATTTATATGCATCTAGAATAAAAAAGTTAATATATGGACAAGCTCATTTGATATAAAGAAAATGATGTACTAAACTCTCACATTAAATTTTAACTTATTGAACTTCATCTTTTTGTTTTTTTCAGAAGTGCCATTTTTCATTTATTGTTGATGTTCTATGATTAATTTGTTGATGTTGCATCTTTTTTTAAGGTATAATTTTTTGTAATAATTTTTTTTTTTAAGAAGCAGTAAAAAAGTTATTCCAAATTAATTGTAAATAATTAAGCGACATTGAATTTGAGTCACTCATGAGTTGAGCTTAATTCTACAAATTCGAGTTGGCTTATTTATTATATTATTTATTATGAAATATAATAAATAATGAAAAAAATAAGAAATTAAAAGAGAAAGTAAAAAAAATCATTTGATACTTATGACATAATTTCTAAATATTTTTTAACAACTTCGTATTTATGATCTTGAATTTTATTATATTTTAAGCGTATATTACATTTTTTTTAAAAGGGAACAGCTCACGAGCTAATGAGGTAAATTGTACTGGGTTAAACTTGACTCATTAACTAATCAAGTTGGACTTAGGAGCCATTTATCAAGCCAACTCGAGCCCGCTTAACCCACACCCTAAATTTACAAATTCTACTATAACCTTCTAAGAAATGTATAATTTTATTTTTTTCTCTGAAAACTTTGAGCCTCATTTTATTTCTTTATAGTTTTTCATTTCTTTATAAATTTATAGCTCACAATACTCGAACTTCGCAAAGTTATTTTTGGATTAAAATATAAATTTTATTATCAAAGAAAAAATTAGAAAAAAAAAAAAAACCTCTATGGCTCCCATAATCTGACTATATATATCGGACATAATAAATTTATTGTGAATTTCTTATAAAATAAAATAAAATATTCTTCAAAATAAAATGGTCTTCCTAAAAAAAAATAGTCAAGATATATATATGCACGTGCCTCGCGAGGAGGAGCGATGTCTTAGGCTTCGTTTGGGACGGCTGTTTCCCTGCTTTACTGTATGAAACGTAACCGAGTAGCGGTTTGGGAGTACACGTTCGTGTACCGTTCCCAAAATTTTTGCGTCCCGCAGTTGCTTCTCACGTCCGGCTGAAGACTCCCGCTTTTCGGCTGCTTCCCGCTGTTCGTATCTATGAGAAATACTTTAATACCCTTGCTCTGCGAACTGCCCCTTATAGGAAACTTATACACGTCTCATAAAGCCAAGTGGGTATTACACGAACAATTATTAGTCCTCCGACCGGACGTAGAGTTACGTCCGATTGGAACTAAAATTGCGTAAAAAAATGAGAAATACCGAGCAAATACCGAGCAATACCAAACAATAACGAAGAATACCATCATGTGAAGACCCAATACCGAGTTATATTGAGCTATAAATAGACTCTCATTCATGACCCGAAAAATGAGGCTTGGAACCTAGACCTTGACATGAAATTGAAAAGAGCTTATAGATATTAAGAACTGTAAAGCTCCACTAGTGTTTGACGTCGATGATCACCATCAGCAACTACTATCACTTAACCGTAATTGTTGAATTGTTGTCATATGATTACAATTGTCCAACTATGATCTCTTGGCCACTAACACCTGACTAGGGCCTCCCGATCACCATCACCTAACTATGAAAGGCCGACCATTTATCTAATTACAATCATTTATAAACTATTGTCAACAATGTCAACACGTGCTATAACTTATAAGGTTAATGCACACTTTTAATACAAAGACCCACACTAGCTATAATTTGTCGTTGATGCATACCATTGCTTATAAAGCCAGTGCATGCCATCATCAGAAACACTAGCTAATGCATGCCAACTTCATCAACTGTCATCACCAACAATATTAATGTTTGTCATCTCCGATAAAGATGATACACATGATCAATACCAACTTCAACCCTTGACATCATGTAAGATTTATACCTAACTTTTTGGTCTCTGGTCTCATATCCTCAAATCAGAACAATCAAATAAATCAAAAAAGATGTCTTGAGGATAACTCTAATACCTCAAGGCTCCTCCAACATCCAACACAAAATCCATCCTTCATATTTTATGTTTGCTACATTGTATCAACATCTTCTCCACTTACAAGGAAGGTCATCATTTGTAACCTATGACATACCCTAATAGACTAGGTCTTTGCATTTTTTTTTTTCTTCTTAAAATTTTCATGTAAAAATTTTGATGCATCATATATGATAGTCGATAAACGAGATCAAGTGCAAAATCGGGGCAACAAATAACGAAAAATATGAAATATAATGGCTCCTTCTAACCTATTTAGCATTTTTTTTCCCTTTTTTTAAATATTTTTTAAGAGAAGCATTTTTAATCCAAAAAAAAAAATGATACTCCCTCAATTTGATTAACTCATCTATAAAAATATGATCAAAGTAGTGTTTAATGTTTTTGTTAAGAGTGTAAGAATTTGAACAAATAAATTATTTAGGGATTCATCCCAAACAATTATAATGTCTTCTATATTGATTTAGACCCCTTAACAAAAAGAAAATTTTAAATTATTTACTAATTATAATTTTCTTAGCTTTCTTACTAAATTTATGCTCTCTGCTATCATGGGCTTGTTTGGTTGCTTCTCAATGAAGAATATATCTTAAGAAAATGATTTATTTTCACTCATATATTTTAAGTGCAATTTTTTTTTTAATAATTTGGGTGCATTACAAAATCCACAATTCATTCTGATTTCTATTTGTATGTGATTGAATGATAAAATATAATAAATTTATTATTTTTCAAAATATATTTTTTTAATTTCAAACAATCAAATGAGTCCTAAAGCTCTTTAGAGGTTCTATGTGATTTTTTTATCTTTTAAATACTAAGAATTATATCAGGATATCCTAATACAATTAGTATCAAATGGGTTAAAAAATCATTGAATTTACTTTGAGATTAGTGCAATATAAATTTTTCTTATGCAGTATTAATCATAAGCAATCAAATGAGTCGCAAGCAACATTAGTTCCTCTATGCAAATATCCAAATTTGGAATTTTTTTTTAATAAAAATTAATAAATGCATTAATAACAAATAAATGCAAAAGAGATTGGGCCCAAAATATAGAGATGAATGCATATCTTCAAAGGAAAGATCAAATTCTTATGTACTTAAAAAAAAAAAAAAATATTAGCAATTTTAAAGAGCTGGAAAGTCTTCAACAACTGGAGAAAGGAAATTATTGTTATCTTTAATGAGAGTCAACCTTTAATAGATTTCTGTAAATAATTGCAACATTTGATTATAATGTTAAGGCATTTATCTATCATTAATGATGTTTAATGAAAAGCATAACATTATTAGGCAATTTTTATCAAATAAGTTGACCTTTAGGTGCGAAAAAGCTGTCCAAATGGGAGTGCCTGGGCATCTTTTTAGTACAAAAATTACAAAAAAATATATTTTCTTCACTAAAAGGTTGCTTTTAGAAACAATAAGAAAGCCTTACCAAATGAAACGTTAGGCTTCATTTGGGACGGCTTCTTTGTTGCTTCTTAAAACAATTTCTTAATAAAAAAATTAAAATTTTATACTATAAAGTAGTTTTAAAAAGCAACAAAAAAATTGTCCTAAACGAAGTCTTAATCTTACAGCTTTTCAAAGCTTTGCTAGATATTTTTGGGATTAAGGAGAAATAATGAACCTGCTCAAAAGAAATGTCAGTTCTAACAAGTCAATGAATTCAATGGAGGTCTCTCTTCCAACAAAAAAAAAATGATAAATGAAAAGTGACTGTCAAATTTCTCATTTCACCATCTATAAACTTGAGCTTTTTGTGATCCTCATCAGAAAAAATTCAATTGGCTATATATCGTTCTTTAAAAAAAAAAAAAGGAAAAATCTAATCTTGCCTTCTACACATAAGGTTTGGGGACAATGACATCCCAATATCAAGTGTAGATTTTGGAGTAAGGTTAGCACCTGAACAATTGCAGTAGAACTCAGAACTACAGCAAGCAAGCAAAGACAAAATAGCATTAGCTACGAGGATAGGAGCTA